TAAATATCATAAAACTGTTTGTACATGGTTCACAATTGCATTTATAAAATCATTGCAATCATTAAATTTGTTGTTTTCAACAACCCAATCCCATTCTAAATGGTCATCCAAATCACATTCTGATGTTGCATTGTCCACTCCTAAAAACCCATACACATATGCTTCAATTATAAAAATAATGATTATTCATTTTCCTTAAACATATTAAATAATTTAATATTTAAACACTTATTTTACATTTAACCTATGTAGTACTTAAATACCTATTTATTGATAATAGGTTTCTTCAATGATTAATTTAACCACATACCTACCTATTAGRTTAATTTAATTAACAGAGTATAGACATTATAACACTCAATATAAAAAATCTCCAAAATTTCATAATTTTATTCAACTTAATATAAATAGTTTAATAACAATAAAAACATTTTTTTTCCTGGTTAGAACCTACAGCAGAGGAGGATCTGTTTGCACAATACTACTCCTAAAATARAAACATTGGTAGGTATCAAAATTAAGGTATAATACAAGTAGCAAATATAATATATTGCTATCCCAAATAGCAACTGACAATTTTGGTACCAATACATTTATAATGGAATGCATATTTGATCTTCATATGTTAACATAATAAAGTAGCTTCATGCACTATTAAATATTAATATTTGATTTATTGATTCCTTTCCAACTATTATTAATAATTAGATAMCTAATATAAAGTGGCACCTATATTACTTTATGTGCAATTAATTATATGAAAATCAAATCTTATTTTATAAAAATCATTTATCAAAATTTAAAAACTTTTACACCATACCAGAATGATGAAACCGAAAATTGTATCATATTAGGTATACATTGATATCACAATATTTTATTTATATTAGATACCTGTATAGGTAAGTTGATACTTTAAAATACTTTCTAAACTTATTGTTTCTATTCAATATTACCCAAAGACGCAAARAATAATGGGGTGAGAATATTAACCATAGCACCAAACATTTTTAATACCTATCTTAAGTAATCTAAATTTTTGATTACACTTCCATACACAATATACATAAAGACACATAATAGCAAACCATAATATACCCATACATGTATGATGTATAAGAACATCATGTATGTAAAATATAAATCCTGGAAAAAGAATTCCTAATATAAAAAAATAAATCAAATTAGTTTGTTATGAATCTAGCAGTGCYAAAATAATAACAAACATACTATTACAATAATTCAATGATATTTTTAAACATAATTAATGATATTGTATAGTAGTAAGCTGATTTATGTCAGAGGTAGTCAGGTCGTCAGAATACAAAAAAAATTGTAACAAAACAATGTATACAGACCAGTGTCGGTCTGGTACTTAAAGAGATCTAGATGCATTTCTTCAGAAAGGCCCCCAAAAATGTTATTTCATAAAATGATAAAAAAAAAATACTTTAGTAGAATATTATATTTTAAGTACTACTGGGGCCCCTTGACACAAATCCGGTTGGAGGCCTCAGACACGTTCGACGGCTAGCAGCCATGGCCACTGTAACAGGAAAACTGACAAATGAAATAACTTSTTTTAATCAATAGTTTTTAATTTTTTTTTTCTATGATTTATATACCTGTATAAGTAATTAAATCTATGTAATTTATAAATATTATTCATTGGTACTTGATACTTTTAGAATCTATTTTTATAATTTATACAAATACAATGACAATTTCAATWGCAATTTTTTTCAGCAAAAATAAATTTAACCTACTGTAGTACAAATTTTTAATAGTATAATAAATTACTTTAATCACAATATCATAAAATATACTATTAATATTATTGGCTAAGAGACCATCTTCACTCAGAATCATATTTGGTATACAACGATTTTATATTTTATTGAATCCAAATTTAACACATCCATTACAGTTACATCCTAAACACGTAATATAWGGTGGAGTGTTACCCACCGATCTGATTTAATTTTTAGTATTATAAAATTAAAATTAAAAATTTTAAAAATATTGATGAGAACAAGTTATTTAATTTATTAGATCTTCCTGCTACACTTAGTAAGTGATACAAAAATTGACTACATAGAGTTTTTAATAAATATTAACRTATCTAAAAATATTTGAAAAATAAATAGAATTATGGATTGGCCACAGCCGCCAGGTAATAAAATTTGTTTTTAAATGAAATTTAAACATTTATATCTTAATTTTTTTGTCCAGTTAATCAGTGTTTTACTGTAGCAATAGCACCTACCAACACACATTATTAAAATTATCAATCATCATTCAGAAAGAATTAAAACTAGAGATTTTTCAAGAGACTAGTCCTGTTTAAAAGGTAAATACCCTGTATAAAGTTCCATCCTCTTTCTTTTCTAATGCATTCATCTGCAGTGATTCTAATCAGTTTTAAATTATTATAATTTGATTTGAACCATGCAATATCAGTTTTTCTTCTAGCATCACTCACAATCCATATATCTTTTGAATGGTCTAAAATTATATGAATTTTTTTTAGAATTTACTATTAAATGTATTATAGATTAGTTGTGTTATGTAAAAATACTAACTTTGATCATACATATCTATTGCCATACGACAAAAATAACCACTATCATGTGAGCGTACATTTTCACTCCATTCAATCATTGACTTTCTGTGTTGTTCCTTCATCTCACYATCACTGAGAAGTTCATCCAATTGAAGTGATTTAGTTTGGGCCCAGTGCTTTTTTATGGGGCCCGAAAGACGAATTATTACACATTTTTCTGATCCAATTCTATAATATTTTTAAGTGTAAATAATTGATTAACATAAACATAAAATGGTTAGTAAGATTTTATTCAACAAACATTTAACAACAACATTATGTAGGAAACTTTTATTATTTCATTAGTTTATAAATAAAAAATTTTTTAGGTATCTTATAATTATTTTACAAATTATTAAGTTTTTCTAAAATTTGATTTACAATAGTTTCTACTTCAGCCATTGCACCAATACCGTGGTCACCGCAMATTAATGTCTTAACAATTGGAGGAATTAGGCAATATCCCCACGACTCTAACTTGTCCAATTGATCTTTAGTTACTGGATGATTCCACATTTGAGTATTCATTGAAGGACAAAACAATACTGGCTTTGAAATATTCCAAGCTCTAACAATGCATGTTAATAAGTTGTCACAAATTCCTGCATTTAYCTTAGCCATAGTGTTAGCACTCAAAGGAGCAAGTACCAATAAATCTGCTTTTTTTGAAAGTTCTATATGCAAAACCGGATCCCCTCTAGTTTTCCAAGCATCCCATTCATTTTGATCAGTATAAACATTAATTTTTAAATCTTTTYTAATTTTATCAATATCTAAAAAATGTTTACTAGCTTCTGTGACRACTAACGTTRCGTGAATGTCTTTTTGAATGAGCTGAGAAATAATATCTGGTATTTTGATTGCAGCAACACTTGCACTGCAAGCAATAAGAACATGTGGCATGATTATTAAGTTGTATTAAGTACTGTCGTTGGTATTTTTGACGTCAGCTAATCCAAGTTTAGTCCATTCTTCTTTTGCCATCAAATCATTTTGCATACGGCAATCCAAATAATCTTTGGCCTCTTGACGACACTGTGAATTGTCCCCGTTGTTAACACTTAAACAAAACATATATTTGTAAGCAGTTTTTTTACACTGCCCTTGGTGATCTAATGGGAAACTACCCTTTTCAGGAGGTGTTGGTTGAAAACTTTTTTGGCCAAAAGTTGCAGAAGACATGTGGAAATGCAATAAATAGTGAATAATTAATTTACAATAACAAAAATGATTCAGTTTCTTTGAGTTATCTATAACATATCACAGTTGAACGAATGAACGAAGAAAAATGAACGGTAAAAACGTAAAGTCCACGGAAATACGGAATGAATAAATATAATGTGATAAGAGCAATTATGATGATTGATAACGAAATCTTACTTTTTCAACTTTTCGCAAATTTCACACTATACTATTATTATTATGAGTTATAATGTAGTATTATACTCTGTGATGAAACCGTATTATAAAATTATAAGTAAATTTAAAATGTTTTTATTAGTTGCAGATGTTTTAAATTAGGTATCTAATATCATGGGAGTATAGGATGGCCCTTAAACAATGTATATAAGTACAATTAAATTCAACATATTTAACCAATTATAATTCATTAWGTCATTAATTAGTAATAMAACAGTCTAGTGTATTATATTTTATTWTACAAAGGTATATCTTAACTACAATCAATTCGTACAATTTAAAATCTAAGTTGCGATTACATTACACGTCTTCCCATTTCCTGAACTTCTTTTCTATTATCAATATTTTGTGTTATAAATACAGAGTTGATCCGGAGCATCGTGATTTCTTTTCGTACAAAGTTGATTCTCATATACTGTTTACGTTTGATACGTTCGAAGTTTGTTCTGGTGTGAGACAGGTCTTTATCGACCACTGTCGCGGTGACTTGCACAGTACCTGGATCCAAAACGGGCCTGCCGATCAACGTAAAATCTTTGCCACCAACTAACAAAACTTTTTGCAACTTGATGCGATCCCCGACATTTGGAGGCCAATAACCATCTATCAGCACCAGGTCGTTGTCGGTGACTTTGAACTGCTTACCACATATATGTACGACAGCAAACAATCGGTTATTGTTTTTTACAGCTTCATTGACAGTTTGTATTATACTGTCGGAAAACGTTTTGTGTGCAATCGTATTGTCGACAACATATTCCTGACTGATAGGTGCTGAAAACGATCGTACGCTTAAACTCGATGCAGCAGAAACAGCTATTCGGTTAGCAGACACGGTTTGAACAGTTTTGCTCGCAAAATTCAGTAATTTATTGCACAACATTATAACTGTCCAAGTTGTTTGGACGAGACAATACTACAATAGACACTAGTAAATTTAGTTATTTAGTAATAGATAAGAATAATTATTTACAATTTACATGAATAAATATTACGATAACCTGTTTTAAAAAAAAAAAAGCAATAATATAAATGTTTAAAGAATTGAGTCTAAATATTGGGAATTTCGATTTACAAAAATACGAATTGTATACATAACCTCACAAATACAGATTGTATAATCTGGACGATAAGAATTGAAATTAAAAATCTTATCAGTACATATAATAATAAATAATAATGTACCATGAATAAAATATTAATATGTTACGTAAAGCCTAATGGAATATCGTTCAAAGATTAATAATTTTAACGTTATAATATTAATTTATAAGAAATCAAATTCAATAAAAATACAACTCTTTATACAAAGGCGGTGGCTAAACTGTATATAATTGTCGTTTCATGGGTAGCGGGAGGGACCGCTATAATCAATGATTATAATAACAACAATACCTATTCGAATATTCAATGAATGTTAATGTTATTCTGGTAATCTGGTTATTCATGACATTTATGATTTATGTTAAACAATCCAGATTATAATGAACATTGAAATCGTTTAATTTACCTATCGTTCATGGAATATTTTACACGAACGATGAGATATCGAGGCGTGATCTTATGGGTTTTATTTTGTTAAGTTTAATATCGTCTAATAACGCGCGATAAGGGCATCACACATTTGACGACTATAGTTGTAGGCCATTAATGCTCTGTTTAATATAATAATTGGAATAATGTTATCACTTAACGATTAATGATATAGCGGTCGTCACCTTTTGTAGATCGCGTCCGTGATGTAATCCTTTCCGCATTTCCGCTTTCCGCTGAACACGTACACGGCCTTGGGGCGCTGACGCTCGGTCACTGCAGCTCCAGACATGATGTACATCCGACGTGGGCACGTAATGTCGATGTCTCGACGGTGATCGGTGTCGACTGTGTCGAGTCACGAGTGACGACTAGTCTACAACCCAACGGCCAGCAGTCCCAACACCTGAGCAGTGAACGGCTAGCGCGTTGCTCGTCGGCCACTATTAAAATGGTCCTTAAAACGGCGTCGAAACCGAGCACCGGACGCGATAGTAATTATATAATTACCCGTTTATTAATATCGTATTTTATGCGTAATGCTTATGATGATTATTAGTAATATTATATTGTTGATCAAACATTTTTCAAATAAATAATAAATGTCGATGTACGCGTGTTGACGCTTCTTCCCATGCCGAACAATTCATTTTCATTGAACATTGTTTTAACCTCTAAACCATTGAGGTGAAACGTGTTGATCGTAGTCTTAGTTTTGAGCCATTCATTGACATATAAATACATATCATTATACATTTATACTTGCTAGTTGCTATTACTTACCCATATAGTATTTACTATTTACCTTAGTAGGTTAATTAACGTATCGATGAGTCATATTATAATGTACCTACATTAATAATTTCACGATTAATAGTTACTGACGGAAATGCACGAGTGTTAGGTAAATTAATCATTATCCTATTGATTTTATAACGATTATTATTTGTTATAATTAATAATAATATGCTCTTAGTATATTATAACAATTTTACGTACTACTACAACTACAGTACCTACTTCGTTGACTACTACGCAGTAAATAAATTTATATAGCTATTAAAATAGTGCTATGCCATGAATAAACACGAAAAGCGAGTTGCCAATATAATATTATAGTTATAATTAATAATATATATCATATAATATGCAATGTTATACTTGTCTGAGAATYGCGGACATTTCCCCTCCCCTTTTTTTCGTTATAATCAAGGAATCAGGCCCAGATCAACACTATCGTAGGCCCTAGGTGGCCTATAGGTACGGTGTCTGTGCCTTGATCCCAATATGGCAATATGGCCCGGTATTTACCAATCCAAGAGACATTAAATAACCCACCACAACAACGACTAAAGTCTCGCAAACCAATATGGAATGATCTTCCAATAGAATAATAAATTAACGATTGCACTTTTTTTTTTTACAACATTGCTCTTAACTTGTGGAAGGTACATATTATTATGTTTCATAAGAAAAATCGTGTGCTAACTAAACTGCAATAATTATCCAACATCTATGTAAATTACAGGTATGGTCATGATTTAAAATGTCCGTTTTTTTCAAAGAATAAGCTTGGAATCCTGACCTTGGAGGCTTGGGTAAAACGACAAAATCCTAAGCACTTAAATAAAATGTAATGGATAGGTAAGTATGTTGATTTGATTCAGATGCACTGCGTACGTTTCCATAGGGCATAAATCACTAGGATTTGATGAATTTATTTATTTGTTAATATGCAATAGGTTACTGGTAGGTACTTTATAATTATTAATTAAACAATAAGCACGATACACTTATCGATAACTTTTGCCACCAATGAATCTTAATAATTCATCATCATAATATTAAAAAAATATTCATAACTTAATGTTTTAATCGAGGTCGAAGATTATGATATACTGAACAAGTTCAAGTGTAAACTTTAGTTTTTTAACGAGACAAATGAAAATAATTAGGTACCATTTGTTTTTAAGATTTAATTGTTTCYAACTCTGAAGTCTGTGCGTTGAGGCGAGGATCGACGACTTGGACCAGTGCTACCACTTTAAATGGGTAAAAATATTGTGCACAATGTTTGATACCGTGAATTTATTTATATTACAAAAGAACAAAATATTTAAATATATAATAAATAATAGTAGAATAATTAATGTATAATAATAATACAATAGGCATGATACATTTTTACAAAGGTCAAAGAAAATTACTTGTTTATTGGTAATTGAAATAATCAAATCAGAAAATTGCTCCAATTGAATCCATCAACCGCACAACACATAAAACAAAAAACACACATGAACAAGTTTAAATAATTAAGAATAGTTTTGAAATCACTTGTTTATTGGTAATTGAATTGTTGAAACTAGAAGATTGCTCTGATTCTGCAGTAGTTTCTAGATCCTATATACATTAATAATATTGTTATAAATTGAAATGTATATTATACATTAGTGGAAACAAATTATTTTTACATGATGAACTGTATGGTCTATTGATGCGTCAACTTCAGAACTATCATCTAAMGGCAATATTCCTTCTTCAAATACATTACTTGTTGAAATCTGGAATTGCATTATATGTATTATATCAATGCTATAAGCCGGGTCCACACGATGATATATAGTTACTCTCGCGATAGTTGCTATCGTGATAGTACTATCGAATACTATCGCCGTGTGAACATGTCAATAGTAACTATCAAACCATCGTGAGAACAGCTCTCACACTATCATACATGCATGATAGTTGAGAGCTACTATCACGATAGCGACTCTTGCGAGAGTAACTATCATCGTGTGGACCCGGCTTAATGTATAAAAACAGATTGATCGATTAGTGTGTACCTTGACTAATTTTCTTTGAACTTCAAAACTTGAACTATTTGCTTGCTGTTCTACTAAATTTAGTTCTGGAGCAGGTACTAYAATTTCTGAATAATCATTCCTAGCCTAATATATTTAAAATTATTAATAAATCACTTTTAATGTTATGGAAACTATAGTGATTTAGTTATAGATACATACAGATTTAACTCTAGAAACTATTAAAGTTGGTGCAGCATTTTTCTTCAAAAACTTAATTTTGTTGTTATTTTCAAGAAATGAAGATGGGTGAAAATGGGCTGAACAAAGAACACTATGTTTTGTTATATTGTTCAGATTCAAAGAATTCTGTAAAACAAATTGATTCCACTTTTCCCTTATAGGTGGTACACTGACAGGAAATCTATTTTATAAAATAAAAATATGATGTTTTATTAATTAAATGAAGTTCAGTTAATTTACAAAAACATTAATTATGTACATTAAGTCCGTTTTACCTATGAAATGTTATGTTTTCAAATTTGCTTTTTTCATTTCTAGACCTACCGCATACATTATACTAGGCATAATGCTGCATGTAGTATAATGTATTTGTTTAGTAAAAAGTAAAATATAAAAAATTGTAGTTTTTAATTTTTGTAAGTAAATTACATAKAGTAACACAGAGGAAATAGGAATGATAATACTGATATCATAGTTATACCGCTACCTGGTGGAGGAACATATTGTGAATAGTCGACGTTTTCGGGTCAATGACCGGTAGTTTGGCTTCAATGTAGTAAACAAGTGAGATATGGTACGGCGGCACGGCGCCTCTATGTTACTCTATGATCTTTACCGTGTTAATTTTTATCAGTGTCCAGGCCCGCCACAACTACAGTCTACAACTTACTGCTGCAGCTGCTGCTACAGCCTACAATCACTACTCGCTACTAACATACAGTAAAGTTAACACTGTATAAAAAATTCATAATCAGTGAAACTTGAGAATCAGTAAAAGATAATATTAAATATTATTATAATATCCAGCTGCTCTATGCAGTATGCACTAGCCACTATGCCACTATGGCATAGTGTTGTTAAAATACAAAACTGATAGGTGATAACCGGACTAACCGGTTGAATGTTGTATTATTTATTTATTTATTATTTCACTTTCCAGTTTCTACCGGGTTTCAGAGCTTGTCCTGKTGCCCCTTTTATTCGGTAGGTATTTACTGTTCGTCTGTTTAGTGTTCTCTAATCGTTATATTTGTTAATATTATTGTTACTTATTCCTTCTTAATATGTAATACTCACCCGGAACGCAAGAGTCACAGCTTCTGGTCAAGGTATATCATTCTTCCCATTATTTTCCTTACAAGAGAGAAATCTAGTAATTTAATGTAATTGTTTCTATTGAAATTGAAATTTCATTACTAATATTATTATTATATTCAATGCCTTGTAATTAACTTTATTTTTGGCAATTGTCAAAATTAAACTGATATTTACAAATTTTTATATTGTTTCATGTATATTACTAAACAAATTGGCATCATATTTTGGCCAAATTTAACTGGTCTAATAATTTAACTGAATCTAATAATGGGCACTTTAAATAGTAAGGAGACTGAACTTAAAATTATTGCAATATGCAGAGGGCATAATATTGAATTTATTAAATTTAAAAATTAACTGATTGAATTTTTGAAACTTTAATTTTTTTAATTTTTAATTTTTACAAAAAATAAACAATCTGTATCATTAATTATACTAGACACAGTAAGAATATCAAATAAAAGTTGACAGGTCATGAGATTTTGATGAAAGGAGCCATCCATTGATGACACTTTCTGTTAGCTTGATATTTAATTTAAGAGATCACAACACCACTTCGCTTCAAGCGTCTCCGGATTCCCAGGTATTGTGGTAGTGACCAAGTTTTTTAGAAGTTGATTTGGGTGATTATTTAGGCGGCAATGGAATCTTTTATTTAAGRTTTTTGCTTCGTCTTTTATTATTTTGAGTTTTAAGTCTGTGTGTAGTGTATGATTTGACACATAGTGTAGACCATTCATCAGTTTTCTAGTGTAATATTTTGGAAGGTTTAGATTTTTGAGATATTTGTCTTTTTCACATTGCCTCAAAGTTGAAGGCCGTAGGTCCATAATGGCATTTTTTAAACTAGAATTTATAAAATCGATACAAAAAAAAAAAATGTGCAATAAGCATTACTAATTGAAATTATTACAAATATTTCAACAAGCAAGATAACATTAATAGGGTATTTAAATATTAAAAGCAGAAAAGATTTTTGATAAAAATGATTTAAAACAAAATTAAGTATTTAAATTGAATGTTTCAAATAGGTTTTTTTGTATACATTTCCATGGGTACCAAGTCGGGTATCAGAGTAAGTTATAAAAGTAGTTCTTGTCTAGATACTTATGAAAAGTAGGTATAATTGTAATGAATTAAGAAATTATAAGAAATAAACAAAACTGCTCTACAGTAAAATTATATAGAAGTTGAACTTATATGTACCTGTGTTAAAAAAAAAAAGACAATTGGAAAATAATAATAAACATGAAGTTATTAAATTTTATTACAATGTTATTTCACGACTTATTAAATTTAAAATAYATAATTATCTAAATACCGCTTAATTATAACAAAAAATAATTATAATTCATCAAACAAACAAAAAAACCTAACCTTGGAAAATTACTAGTTTATTGAATTCTATTTAGGACAAGAGATAAAAATATGTAAAATTACACTAAAAAAATTTGACATAAAATTATGTAATTACTATAACAAATATATAAATAAAGTATGTAAAAAATTCATATTTCTTATAAAAATTAAATTACAAGTTGTCCAATAGATATTACTTAAAGTTAGTATATTATTGGACAAGTGGTTAAGAGGATGTAACACTAGCATATTTTATAGTCTCTATCTTACAAATGCGTAACATAACAAATCTACACTCAGAAAATCATGTGTAGCTTTGTAGGTAAGTCTTAAAATTAGAATRAATCATATGAAACTTGATGGTAAGTACATTATCTGTGTTTGTATGTGGTTTTGTTTACAATGATTTCAGTTTTCAAGTGAGTTATGAGTGTTTTTAATTCATGCTATATTATATATGCAAAACTTGCTAAAAACTTTAACTTTTGTAAAAAACTCGCATTCAAACATAGATTCTTAGGTAACATAATTATATAAATGGATCTCTGAAAATTAACTAATGACTGTAATACAAAATTGATAAATGATGCATCACCAGCTAGGATGYATATAGGATTATAGTATTTTAACAGATCCATCATCAATACAATTTTATGTTTTAATAAATGGTGTATTTTCAAAAATATTCAAAGAATTGTTAATTACTCCAGTTTATAAAACGGGTTTAAGAGGAACTGTCAGGTCCTATATGATTAATCTTAGATAAATTTACTATGGAAAACAGAACTAAATTAATTTTAATTTGGATTTAAAAACATATAGGCAGACAAGGCAGTCAAGATTTTAATTTACTTTACAATTCTCTTGACAAAAGGTAAAGATATAATTTGAAAAATATTTTTGGACTTYGTGAAATCTACTGACTTTATTTTACATGAAGYATTATTGGATAATTTAAAAAAAAATAGTTCGGAATTCTTTCGTTTTGGRTTAAATCTTGTATGCTTATCTGACATTTATCTACCCATATTTATAAGGCTATGTATTTATCCCTACCTATAAGGAATATGATTTTACTCATGATTTTAGGCACTCTCCAGGATACTGTTGGTATAAAAAAATGTTTAATTCAAACTAAAATTAAGTAAATAAATATGTATTATATTGTATTGATATTAATATTTACAGACGCTCAAAAACAAGTTGGCCATTAAAAACCAAACAAGATGGATAAAAGGCTATTAAATGTAAGCCTGTTAGGCTTGGCCTTCATGTTTGTTTTCACTGCATTTCAAACCATGGGAAATATTGAAGTAAATAACTACTAATATTATTACTTGTTAAAATTGAAGTATGTTTTYGAACATTTGAGGATGATTGTTTTTCATTTAAAAACACTTTTACATGAAGCTATATAGTACCGCTTCTGTAAAATGTAAATTATCAAACTATCAAAAAATAATGTTATATATCATTTAATTTTGATGATAAATTATAAATTTTAGAAAAAAGAAAACTTAAAAGTCTGTTATAAAATTAAGTACACCTATTAAATAATCATCCCAATATATTGCTGTTGCATACCTATAAGAATTTATGATTTTTTAGAAGAATTTTATATTTTTAGATTATTGTTTAATTCTTAAAGTGCACAAACATAAAATCATTTTATAAATTTTTACAGTGATAAAGTCACAACATTTTTAGTAAATATATGCTTCAATAAACTTGAGAAGTAATATGTAGGTTGCTTTAAAGTTTACAGTTGCTATTTAAAGACCAATATGCTAATAACTAACATTGATCATAACCTTTAGGATTCCATTTTGAAATCTTTGAGCCTTAATATTTATAAGAATTAGAATAATACAGTAGAACCTCATTGATCCGGACCTCATTAGTCCGGACTTCGCTTAATCCGGACAGCCGTTTATAATACKTAAATAAGAAATTACGCTAGTTTTCCCCCTGGATTAAAATAAACATRAAAACGAGTTCTACAMATTTCCCATAAATGCRGGTTATTGCGATAACATATTTATCAATACCAATTATCTACTATTTTTTTAAATAATATAATTATAATATATGGTTTAATAAAATATGCAATAACATTTTTATAAGTTTATAATTTACGATKTTTGGTTATTTTGTTTAATCCGGACTTTCATTAATTTGGACAACCTAGAGCCCCAATTAGTCCGGATTAATGAGGTTCTACTGTAGTATACAAGTAATCTGGATTTGAGATCTATACATATACTATTTATATACACACTAGGTATCTAGTAATTATGTAAGCATGTAGGTATCAAATAAAAATATTTAATTTACACATTTACATTCCTTACATATATTACAAAACTAAAAAGTAGTCAGTAGGTATCCATATAATAKCATATTAACCTTCATTAAACTATTGTGTATATTAAATATTGTTTTATGTTTATTTATACTATTAAAATTTTTTTTTTTAGAAAACTATACTAAAAAGCATTCAAAATGACTATCCCTCATTTACTGGTGATGGATATACTAGTTTGTCCATTATCTATGTTGTGTTTGCTTTATGTAATTGGATATCTCCATCAATTGTCAGTTTTGCAGGTTCTAGATTAGCTATGTTTATAGGATCATGCTGTTACACGTTTGTACTTTCTTACAAATAATGTAGTGTTGTGTCTTATAATTAATTTGTACTAAATAAACATTTTGTTCTAGGATGTTCTTAGTATCATTTCTCTGGCCAACTACCTTTCTACTTTATTTCATGTCTGCAGTTATTGGCTTTGGTGCTTCAGTTATTTGGACTGGGCAAGGAGCATATTTAACATTAAATTCTGATTCTTCTACTATGTCCAGAAACTCWGGAGTATTTTGGGCGTTGT